CAATAATTGTCCAACGCACGGGCTGCCCGTGTGAAGATGCGTTTTTTGCATAGTTCCCCGCAGATTGTCGCTAACGGCAGTGTTTTTCCCGGCAGATGCTTCTAGCTAAAAGAATTTCAGACTGGCGGCCAGGACTGGCAGGAAATGTCCGTTCAAAATTCCAGTCTTTTTGCTTCGCAGGTCCCCGAGTTAGTAATTTACACGAAAAAACCATTCATGGGCTCGCACGTGGGAATGACTCATACCCGGGGGCTAGATTTGAGCTGATTAATACCTACGTGAATGGGGAACATTCTTTTAGATTAGTCTTCTAGCTTCTCAGGTTTCCGAGTTATCAACTTACCCGAAAAAAATTTTCACGAGTCCGTGCGTAGGTGCCACGCATACCCGAGGCTGGGTTTGAGCTCAGTGAGACTTACGTGGACGAAGGACATCTCCTTATAATTTCAGCTTTCTAGCTTTTCTGGTTCTCGAGTTAGTGACTTACCCGCAAAAAACTTTCAGGGGCCCGTATATGGGTACCACGCGGATAAAAGCGCCCATTTTGGGGATTGTGGCCCCTAAGTCCGTATAGATTAAGTTCCCAAAGTTTCAGCTCTGTAGCTTTTGTAGGTATTGAGATGAAAAACCGTGACAGACTCACACACAGACAATTCCTCGTCAATATGCGTTTTCTGCATTGCATAGCTGCAAAAAATGCATAAAAATAGTCAGATAAACGATTGCACGGTTTAACATTATCTGAAAGTTTTCCTCTTTCTCCTTGAAGTATCTTAATTGTTATTGATACAGGTGTCCCTTCTGACTTTCAAGTTCTCAGTTCCTAAAAATGTTGCGTAATTACACAGAATTTTAGCTTGGACTTCTTTTCCACTTTGTTTTTGCTCGTTCACTCATTTCTCATTAAAATGGGCATTGTTCCTGAGTATTATTTAACAGGCGCAGCCTGTAGCAGCAGCGAACTCGTTATCTACACCGGATCCGTCAACATCAACGAATTCTGGCGATTGTCCACCAAAAAGATTGCACGTGTCGAATATACCGTTTCGGTTTCGCGATCCCGATTTGAGGGCAATGTTTGAAAAATACGGCCCAGTGACTGACGTGGAGATTATATTCAATGAACGCGGCAGTAAGGTAAGCTTGAATCGTGTATCAGTTTAGAAATTTCTGTGATTCATAAACTGTTTTATCGTAGCTAGTACATCGTCATGTTTTTCATTTAAACGCATTAGTTGTTGGTCACAATAAAAGGAGAAAATTTAGCTGAAATTGGCGCAGATGTCGGTAGTTTGTGAACCATCAAAGTGTTGATAAGTTGAATGGGTGTGGATAATGTGTGCGATAGTCCGT